AGCAATGTAGCTAAACATTTCTAGAGCCAACACAAAACCACGTAGAGGAAAACACGATTTACATGCCACCACACACTATTTCGTAATGAAGTTTCGACAAGATATTAAGGTGAAATTTTCTCCCACCCCTATTTTTTGGCGTCACGTTCGTGACCAATTTTGAGTTTCTTAAAATTATTTCAGAACTTTATTTTTTTACAATTTATATAAATCGCCCACGCTTTGTTTTTTATGTGTGTACTAGGCAACGCATCTGACTCACCACCCCTTCCCAGAGAAAGTTTCCCCTCATAACTTCCTTCATCCCTTCCACCGTGGATTTCACCCTTACAGAAGCGGCGCGAACTTACGGTTACACGACATCCTTAACTTGTACCGTATACAACACTTCAGACAACCCGCTAGAGGAAGTATTTTACTACACGCGGGAGCGAGGCTTTCCACTTTTTCGTTGTCAGCAATACACCGTACAAGTTTCTCTGTCGATAAATAACCCCTTTTTGCCGCAGCTTTACAACACTTTCTCTCTACGTCCCGGCCGGGGACGCCGCCTCCAAGGCCACGGCGGGGGTAGGCGCCGACTCTGCGTAGTCCTGCCTGCACCGCGTCGCCTACATAAAGGCCACGGCGGGGGTAGGCGCCGAGTCTGCGTAGTCCTGCCTGCACCGCGTCGCCTGCGTAAAGGCCACGGCGGGGGTAGGCGCCGAGTCTGCGAACTCCTGCCTGCACCACGTCGCCTGCGTAAAGGTCGCCGACGCAAGGCAGTTACCCGGCTCAGCCCAGACCTTGCTCAAGGCCGCGCGCAGGTTGTACACGTAAGCGACACGCGCGTTTACTTGGTTCAAACGAGCGAAGGCGGCTGGCGGCATCAACTGAGTCACTACAGTGCCTCTGACCGAGTGGACCTAGTGTTCGAATCGCGACGGCGGCTGCTTTTCGACACTCGCTACGTAGATACGACAAATTCAGTCTGTGTCTGGAAGAGAATTCTGGTGACCGTTCGCTTTGACGGTAGTTTTCCGTCGATTCTCCGATTGATACCAGACGAATGCCGGGGCTGTTCCTTACCAAACAGGTCACGCGCGGTATTCCTTTCTATTCTTCGTCCTTTCTTACCCCCCTTACAAACATACACTACTCTACCACACGTCTGGAAACCAGTCGGCAGTTTCTAGCTTGTTACCGCTGGGGCGGTCTCGATGGGAGATACGTGTTTGGGGAAAACCCCATTAGCGAAGGGTAATTTTCCACCTGATCTCGCTACCTCCCACAATAATAACATTCACTACTCTTACCCTATTGACCCTATTACATAATTACATTAATGACATAATTACATTAATGGCCCTAGGAGGTCACGCACCGCAATCACTGATCAATTAATCCTTAATTTAATTCAATTGTGCTTTAAATTGTGGGGCTCAGCTTGTTAGACATTCACGTCCGCCTGACCTCGCATACAACAGTTTTCTACGCTCCTTTAGTCATCTAGTAGCAAAAGAAAGGCGACGAAATTGGTCATAAGATTTTAGATCAGAGAATTTTTTTATTCTTAACTAATCTTAATATACTGTAAATATAAGTCTTCCGAAGAACTGCAAATAATGTGTTATTCTGCCCTTAAATAATCGACGGTTTCGTCCCAATTTGAACCCGCGAAATAACAGTCCGATATGGTAGCCGTTAACCACCGACAAGGCAACGCCGACAAAGCTACAGATTAGTGTCAGGGTGACGTTAATACACACGTGAAACCTTTGGAGTTAGACAGACCTAACGTATTTTCCGTTCTCTTCACACAAGTTACGTATTTTTGTATCACGTCAAGCCCTAACGTCTATAATAACGTAACTAGCGATACATTCGTTTGATCCAAAGATGCAGAAAATGTTCCTATTCTGGAAATTGTTGTACGTAGAAAATAAACATTAATTGCGTCAGTCTGACCCTAAACTAGTGAATTGAAGAGCTTCTCTTCATTAAGCAGGTTTTTCACAAAGGAAAAAATTCACATTTGATTTTATATTTATCTGATAATTCTTTGTAAACTATAGAATAAAATAGTCAAATTGATAAATGATTTTTTCAAATAACTTAATCTAAAAAGAAAGGTAACAAATAAGATAAATGCAATTGTCTTTCAAAATTGCCAGAGACAACAGGTACAAGGACAATATTCACAATTAGCCTTAAAATTCAATAAAGCATTTATCAGTTTTCCCAACGTTTATTACACGTGAAACGTACAGCAAAATTAATATCCCTATTAACATATTTATAGGTTAACTAAAAAAGCGGAAATAGAGTAAATTCACTTTAGAAATTAGGTCAATTCCGGTAAATGGTCAGTCACGATCAAAACATTAAAGTACCTAGGTGTAGGTCATAAACATGAACATGAACGAACACAGTAAAATTCAGCGTCAACGTGAACATAGCTACTCACATATCGACAAAATAAATACTCGTCACACAATTTCTCTATACAAAAAAATGACAGTAAGTGCAACGGACGCAATCGTGTCTGTACGATAGTTACATTGTAATCTACGAGTGCCACGACTATTTTTCATTACTTGCCTACCTGTATCAACCTCTGTGAATGCTGTTGCAGGATCGTGCTGTACAAACCGAAGTACGAGAAGATCGTCAGCGATCTGCAGGAGGCCGTGGACTCCATAACAAATAGTGGCGCATGCGCAGATAGATTCCCGGGCGCCTTGAGCTCATGACGCGGGCTCCCCACCACTTCTGGCCTCGGCTCCGCTCGGCTCTCGTCGGCAAATTCCGCTGTCGCTGTTCTGGCGACGGTTTAGAAGTGCAGCCAAATGAACTATTTCGTCTCCCTAATTAATGATTGTTAGGTTGTGAAGGGGACAAATTTAAAATAAGTTGATTAAAAATCAAAATCTTGCAATGGTGCATTAAATCAAAATATTGAAACGATATGTCAAAATATGAATTGTAAAAATTCCTTCCTCTAACACTCGATGTATAAAATGGCATAAAATAAAATGAAAATAATTTGATATTCACAAATAATATTTCCATGTAACAATTTAATACCGAGCACCTTCTTTTTAAAGTAAAATCATCTGAGGGTCTAACTTATGTTTTTGTTAAACATTGTCCTGCATTTTGTTTGGGAATTGACGGGTTAATTACGAGTATTTTGTACTCATTGTGAGACATGGCTCCAGTCCCCTAGTCGGCCCAACAAATTGAATAACGCGACCTAGAAGCCAAGAGAACATTTTTGATAAAATTGAAATAATTTGTGCTTTATACATGCTGAATAGCCGTGCAATAGCTGTTAGCAGAAAATTCCATACCTGTTTTCTGGTGTTCTTAAAAAATGTCCTGAGCATCCTGTCGGGTGACTCATGGCCCTTCGTGGCTCAGAGCGAAGTCGCTGTCTTTCACTAAGAAGTTCCGGGTTCGATTCCAGGATAATCTGACGTGAAATTGGTTCCGAAGCACGAGTTTGCCTACTTTGCAGGAGGCAGTCTTACCTCTGTGAAACGTCCTAAACACTACAACTGTCATAATTCTTTCCCAATGCCGACCGCTGGGTACTGACGCACGAGCGCATAAGAGAGGCGCGTACGCGAAGATGCTACCTGGCGGTCCTCTTCGCGACTCCTGACACGACTTACGGACTACAGATTATAATATATTTTGTATTAAATCACTATAGTATAGTTTAACGGAGGATTACTTCATAACAATGCGTTCTTCGCCAATTTCTTGACTTGGAGGAACGTTATGACAGACATGAGATGAGATAATGAACAGAAATGATGTAAAGTTGACTCAAAATGTATATTACAAAATACAGTTGGATCCGCACAGTGCAGTACAGTTACCTGTTAATGTGATGATTCACATATGGCATAAAATTAACTGGCAACTGGGGGCCACCCGAACTAAGAACCGGGCGGCTCGGACCCCCATCCCGTCTCCTCACTGCCTACGCCGTTAGGCTATCGACGTGAGTAGTACCGAGAACTTGGGCAACCTGATGGTAGGTAATATCTCGCCGGACTTTTATATGTGTATTCCAGAGCGTTTCTAAGAACCTCCTTCACCCAATCCTAACCAAAGGTCGGCACGCCAGGGGTCTAACTGGAGCATTACCGGGTCGAACTGGCAACCAGGAGCTCGAGCATTGCCTAATAATTGCCTCCACCTTCAAGCTAACGATTTGAGTTACACTGTGAAACTAAGGGTTCAGGTAGTCGTCTACAACTCTTCACCAGTTATCATACCTGCCTACGCAGACACGATGCCCCCTGCGCGAATCTTGGCTCTTACAGACCGGCGCGGCAGATCCGCAGCGGGTGCGGCACGGAACGCTCCGCGCTAGACGCAGCGGCGGAATCCGCGAGACCGTCAGTTAACACTCAGCGTTTGGCGATTATCAAAACCAAGGCGAGTTCGATGGAGTGGGATGCGAAGACTCCCGAAGGCAGGCGGACTTCCACGAAAGTCGAGCGGCACCGCATGCGACCGCGTTCCAAAATCCGCAGGCAAGAAACCGCTGCCAATCCGCTTCCGCGAAGGGCTGATCGTGCTCATAAGGCAACACCTGACGCGAAATTTTCGCTGCGGACATTCCGCGTAGGCTGCGGATCTTCCGCGTTGGTCTGTAGAAGCCTTTAATCTGAGGTAATGTTTCCGATGATTTTGAGGATGTGTTTGGCTTTGCATTTTTTCGTGACTGAAGTCTTGTAGAAATCTTAAGTAAAAGTTTTTGGTGGGATTGTAAAGACTAAAAGTAGTGGGCGAATACATTTGTTTTTCCAAAACGATATTTTTTATTGATAATGAAGTTATTTCGAGGTACATTAAATAAAAAGGTATTTTGTCGGGTGTATTCCTGAAACGTGACTGGGAAATCATAATTTTTGGGGGAAGTGCCACTTTATTTGTGCTGACAATTTACAGTAGATAAGATTATTACATAAACATTTGAATAATTACTTTCAAATATTGTTATTAAGGTGTATTATTATTCACTCATGTGCTCTCTCTTATATTCATACCAGAGTACATTTCTCTGTTGCTTCATTTTTTGAATGCGGGTCAAGGATAATATACAATGACAGTGAAAATGTGTTGTAGTTTCTGTTAATTTATTCCTCTTGTTTCTAAGACCCTCACCGAAAAATCTGTAATCAAAGTACAGAATTCTCACAATATATTGCTAAGTAGAATGTTAAACTATATACTGGAGCAAAATATACATTTAATATACATTTGATAGTCAACGGAATATGTGATATTTAACAAAAAACGATTATGTGATTTCGTCCTTCAAAACCCCACCAAAACGGAGTGTTGATAACAGTGATGCCCATTGTGCTACTCTTCATTTTGTGACGACCCCTGCTGCTGCTGCTGTTCTTGCTGCTGCTCCTGCTTCTGCAAACCAATTTGAAAAGTCGCATTAAAGATCACGACATCAAAACATCCTGCTGGTATTGCAAAAGTTTAAAAGTTATTTATCGCGTGAAAAATACCTTTCGGAAGAGTGCGGAGATGATCCGTTTGTGTAGCTTCGTTTTGAACATCGTCAGCAGAAGCAGGCTGCACACCATATTTAGCAGAAACATCGCCCCCACCATCCCCATAGAGAGGCCTCCGCCATTGTTGCTCGTGGCGGAATCACTCGTCGCGTCTGCGGCGGTGCTCTCTCGTCCGACCTCTCCGTCCCTCCCCCGGTGACTCCCAGAGTGCTGCTGCCGTTCCAGCGCCTCCATCAGCTGCTCTAGCTCTTGCTGCTGTTGGTGCAGCTGCTCCTGTAGCTTTTCCAGAGCCCGCTGCAACTCCAACTGTCGCCGCTGCTCTTCCTGTTGTTGCTCCTCCTGTTGATTTACTTGCTGATTCGAGTGCTGCTGTTCCTGCTCCTGTTGATTTACTTGCTGCTGCTCATCCTGTTGTTGCTCCTCCTGTTGATTTACTTGCTGATCCGAGTGCTGCTGTTTCTGCTCCTGTTGATTTACTTGCTGATCCGAGTGCTGTTGTTGCTCCTCCTGTTGATTTACTTGCTGCTGATCTTCCTGTTGTTGCTCCTCCTGTTGATTTACTTGCTGATCCGTGTGTTGCTGTTCCCCCTCCTGCTGATTAACTTTCCGCTCCGGCTCCTGCCGTTGCTCTTCCCGCTGTTCTTCCGTCTGCTGCAGTGGATCGTCCTTCGTTGCGTTTTGTGCTGGACGCCAATGTTCGCCAGATGCATGGTCGCCCATTTTCGGATCAGGGCACGTGGCCACAAACGACTGCAAGACGCAACCGGTCGGCAGCGACAAGGAGGCTGGGTCCAAGTCATCGCCCAGTCTGTTATCCGACAAATCCAGCCTCCTCAAAGCCTTCGGGTAGGCCTTCGAATGAGTCGGCTCCTATTTCGGATATCTGGTTGTGACTCAGGTCAATTTCCTCTATATGCGAAAAGTTATTAAAAATTACCTTGATAGCATGATGGTCGAACACGCCTTTAAGCCTGTTATACGATATGTCAAGTTTTCTCAAAGCGGTCAGTCTTTTAAAGTGGTCTAGGTATAATACCCATATCTTGTTGTGGCTAAGGTCAATCTCCTCTAAATGTGACAAATTATCAAATACTTCTGTGGTAGTATTAACGTCGAAAAAGCCTTCAAGCCTATTATGCGATAGGTCAAGTTTCCTCAAAGCCGACAAGCCTTCAAATGCGTCTACTTGTATTTCCCACATCTTGTTGTGGCTCAGGTCAATCTTCTCTAAACGCGACAAATTTTTAAATGTGCTCTTGTCAATATAATAAAAATTGTTTCCTTTAATAGATAGAGTAATAAGAGTGTTACTTTGTAAATCAGTAAAATAATTTTCTGGTATCTTGGAATTCATTATTTGAAGTACCGTAAGCTGTGTGAGTGATAATATATAGGTAAGAACCCTGGAAGGGACCTCACACTTGTCAATTATTATTTCACTAACGTTTGTAAATTTTGTAAAGTCTTGTCCGTAAAGATGTGTTAGTGAGCTCCTCACAAAACTAAGAGCTGTAATGTTTTTACTTCTTACATTGATAAGAAAATACCCTTCGGCATTTTCACACATTACTGATGTACGCATTACAGTGCAAGGCATGCTTTCTCCAGACGACCATTGTACCAGGCCGAGAACAATTAGGATCATCATAAAAAAAAGATTAATCGTAGCAACCTTTCTGTTGTTCATGTTTCCAGGTTCTTCTCATCTGCCTAAAACAGAAACAAGAACAAAATTCTATGTATTATTTGAAAATACAATGCGTGAAAGTGATGACGTGCCAATACAATTAGTTCAGTCACTTAGCCCAAAAAATGTCTTTAGTATTAAAAAAATGGTACCAAAGATTTTCTTATTTAGCCGCTTTATATCGTTGTATTAAAGAACATATTAAAATAGAAAATGATAGCAGCCATGCCATAATATCGGCATATTTAGCAGAACAAATCTGTATTACGAATGTCGTCTCGCCACGTAAAATAAGGCAAATTCAATTCAATTCAATTCAATGTAGTATCGAATGTAATTGGTTAAGTGTTCCTTTGTCGCCGCGCGGAACGCTAGTGTCGCTGTCCAAGATGTCATAGGGCTGCGCATGCATGTTGCCAATGTGAGCTAACCGTTAGTGGCAGCTGGCTCGCATTCTATACGAATGTAGCCTTTGAAATAACCGTTTTTTACCATCGATCCCACGATGCTTTACAGCGGCGGGCGAGCATCTACAGGAGTACACTGAACTATGCGTTGCGTTTTAGTCGGTTCTAAATTATTGGTGGAGCAAGTGTGTCGATATTTTCTTAAACCTACAGAAAACAATCATTTCAATATTAACTGCAATGATACCCAATAGGGAATCTCATACTTTTTTTATGGTTATGAGACACTTCGTACTTTAACTTGGGAATCTTTTATTTCTTCCATACAATCCAATACAATCCAATTGTACGAACATCCTAAACGAAACGTATAAGCAAGATTTTTTATTCCTGTCAATCACTCCATGCAGTAGGTTAACGAAGTGAGTGTGGGCCCACTCACAAAATTTTTATACGCTCCCCCTTTCAAAAAGTGTTCAGAGATAAAAATTAACACAAAAATTAAAACGCCTCCAATTTACACATTTCTACTACTTTTATATTTATCGGTTAATTTTGAACTTATTTAAACCCAAGTTTAAAAATTTTCTACCGATGCACTACATCAAAATATTCAACACTAAAGCTGGGTACGCTAACTTAACGTTAAGTTAGCAAACCCACACATGAAAAACGCATGAAACAAAAATCTATATGCACCAAAATTGTGTTCTAATAATAAACTAATTTACACCTAAATTAAAAAAATTTGAATTGACGAATAACGAAATATTTAACACTAAAAAGTAGGTACGTTAACTTAGCATGTTCAACATCAAAACGTTTACATTAAATAGTTCATATAAATCAACTTCGTTTCGAACGATTTCGTGAATTCCAAAAAAACTCAGCATCTGATAGCAAAATTATTATCACCAGTGTATTCTCCATTATATTTCATGCTAAAACTCTGATTTCTGAAAAAATCCGGAGCATGTCAAAATTTGCAAAATTTGACAGGTTATGGGTCGTTTACACACAAAATAACTGCCCATATCTCAAAAACTCTGCACAATATTTCAATTTTTTGCTTTATCCTGGTTGAGAATTTCATATAGTTTCATAAAATTCCATTATTTGCCGCATCGGACGTAAACTATGACCTCGAGAGGCCTTTATCAGGAAGAAAAAAAGTCGTTTAAAGAGATAGCAAAAATGTTGCTATCTCTTTATATAAGTACGAAATAAGTAGGAAATATTAACTATCCTCAAAGCGGGCAAACCCAGAAATGCACCGCCTTCTATTGCTGATATCTCGTTGTGACTCGGGTCAATCTCCTCTAAACGAGAAAAATGAATAAAAACGCCATTCTTAACGTGACTAATCTTGTTTCCTTTAACAGACAGTTTTACGAGAGTAGTGCTACTTCGTAAAGCAGTAAAATAATTTTCTGTTATGTTCGAATTGATTATATGAAGTACTCTTATCTTTTTGACTGACAATATGTAGTTTAGAACATTATGAGTGATTTCACACATGTCAATTAATAGTTCACGTAAGTTTGTAAATTTTGAGAAGTCTTGTTCATGCTGAGAAGTTCAGTTGCATTAAATTGCTCCTCACAATACTAATAACTGCAATGTTTTCACTCCGAACATTGGTAAGAAAATTCCCTTCGACATTTTCACACATTACTGAAGTATTCAACACAATGCAAGGCACACTTTCTCCACGAATCCATTGTACCAGAATGAAAGCAAGAAGAGCCTTCTTAATAAAGGACACGGTGCTGATCAACATTCCAGTCTATCCTCGTCGCTCTGAAAAACAAAAAAGTCAAATTTTCTGACTGTAGAATCCGCCAAGAAGAGTATAGAACACATTTATGATAAATTGAAAACACTTTAAGGATCATCAAAATCCCGCGATAAATTTAATGTCCTCTGAGATCACTGTAATTACAAATTGATACTAACCGAAGTTAATTCAGAAACAAACTTTTACATCTCCAAACTTATTAAATGCCGAAAGAACACGATACATGCCATCAAAAACACCGTCATATTATCTGCGTCTAACAAATGAAACCCATTAGGATAATACGAATCGTAGTCCTATTCACTTCTTTTCTCGTGTACATACGTGTGATGTACTATGTAATGCTGGGAAAAATCTATTTACGTATTTCAACAGAAAAACTCACCGGGTATTTTGTACGTGTAGTGCTAATTGCATTGTTTAAGGTGACATAAAATAATTATGCTATACGGTATTCTTTTGTTTTTGCAAAAATTACACCAATGTATTTTTTAAATATCTCTCACGCTGTCAATATGCACATTTCCAGCGATTTGTATACATTACTGTATTTGTGAGTGGAAATGCTTCAAATGACTTCCAATGAAGTTTTTGAAAACTCAAACTTTTTCTGTAAAACAGTTTCAAAAACGACTCCATATTTGTCAATACAAATTGCCATATATGACGAGATTTTACTCTTCTATAACATTGTTGAAGTTCAGTTGATGTTTCCTAATAATTCTTTATTTAGGAGACCGAAAATTCGAGAAATTATTTTTTTTAAAAAGATACCAGATAGCAAGAGGATGAGCAAGACCGAAAAACTATCGCAGATCAAAGAAATAAAAATACGTACGAGAAATTCTGTGCCATTTTGTAGCATCACTACAAAATGGCTCAGGATTTAAACGTCAGTCCGTCTATCGTCTGTGAACAATATTTGCTCCTAAACACATTTTTTTTAAATTTTGGTGGTACTTTGCATAAAGGCCTTGCACAATTTTTGAAATTTTAAAAAATGGTAAAACTATAACTTTAAATTTCTTATAACAATAGAGTGACATACATTTATAAGAGTGGTCTATGACCCATTCTCATCGTTCGCTTCAATTTTTTTTAAATTGTAATATTTAAAAATGTTTCGGCGCCCTCCCACAACTGTAAAAATTGAAAATATATATTTTTCCTTTAAGTGAACTTTGTTCTCCAAGCGTTCTTTCTTTAACTTCAGGCACAAATTATTGAAAATTATTGTGTTCGCGCAAAATTAATTGCAATATATGGAATATTAAAACTATCAAAAATAAGAATTTTTCAAAAACTGTCAAAACGCCAATTACATAATTGTTCTTTTTTATATCTCTCACGTCATTAATATTTCCATTAACGGCAATTTGTATACACTATTTTATTTATGAGTATATGTGCTTGAAATGATGTCTCATAATATTTCTTGATAGCTTAAAAGCTTTCTGTGAAAATGACAAAAAATTAACACGGCAAAAGTAGAAATTAATTAAAAATGCAAACAAAATGCATAATACAAATAATAAATTAACACAATATTGATGATACAGATTTTTTTGATTAATGAAATCTGTTCTACAAATGCCACGCGCAAGTTTGTGTGAGTAGTATAGTTTATTTTCTATTGCATTATCTTCGAAATGGTAAAGTAGGATTTACTGCGGTTCGTTTGACGAGCTGAAATGTAGTTGAATATATTCCACACATCCCTTACATTACGACGATGCTCAAATGCTAAGTTTGTGAGAAGGTACTCGCTTTAAAGAAATTAACTCTGTACAACAATTTCTTTGGCTAACCGAAATAATATTTAAATAATATATTATATATTTGTAAACTTACTTCTATATATCCTTAAGGTAAGGTATTGAAAGTGCTTCAATTTGGAAAGTTAAGTTTATATGTGAAATTATCTTCGCTTGTTTCTATATGGGCTGCTAATGTTACAGCATTTGAGATTTATTCATGTCAGTTCTTATTTATTTTTATTTACTTGACGTCAAAAAGTTACAAACTTTGACGTGCTACGGGGAGAAGTGTATTCTATGCACGTTTTCTTAAATCTGCGATCCCTACCCTAAATCATAAAAAAATTGAACCCTGAATGCAAAAAAAATGAAGTTCTTGGCAAGAATTGTTAACAAACTATTAGTTCCGACGTAATAAAATATATTAAGTAATTAAAATATAAATATATTATTTATGATATAAAAAGGCAAATCCGCTATAAATTTGGGTTCTTATTATTCATTTCCTTTGTGAAGAATTATACTTCGGCCAAGACAACATGGAGAGGGATAATTTGAATAACTATATTTCTCACTGAACTCTAGAAGACGTGCACTGATAATGAAGTTACATTTGTGTCCAGAAACAAAACATGGAGCAATCTCAGCATTTGGTCAAGGCATTAAAGGAAAGCGGACTATAATATGTAAAATTATGTCTGTTTAGTGTGCTATAAATATTGTAACAATTGATTGAAATTACTTTATTGATATTTCTTTATAAAAATAAGAAATGACTACTGTTCCTGACTACGAGAATAATTGTAGATTCCCTCGCAGGCTCTTTATTTAAATTTATGGGAGCAAATATGTTGTAGCACCTATGGTTTTGATATTAGGCCCCTCAATACGAGATTTTGGTCAAAAAA